TATACACCATATACAGTAATTCATCACATTATACACCATATACAGTAACTATATACATTATACACCATATACAGTAACTATATACATTATTTATATACATTATACGCCATATACAGTAACTATATACATTTATACATATTATATGATCACTAAAGTAATTACATACAGCATGTATATTATATCATAAATATCCCTTCCCCCCCCCCCAATCCACATCCTGACTGGTTTCCTGAATTAGTGTATTTCGGTTAGCTCTATTCAGTTCTAAAACACAGGGGTGAATCTAACGTGTTGCTCGTGTAATTTGTGGAATCTCTGAAACACTTTGATTCGAAAAAGTAAGAGACATATTTGTAACTGCAAACAGCACTGGGGGTGGGAAGCAATATAGATTTATTTATTGGCATTTATAAAGCGCCAACATATTCCGCAGCGCTGTACAATTGGGAAAGACAACACAATAAGAACAGACCGATACAACAGGTTAAACTGGGGAGATGAGACAAGCAGTAGCAGAGGGATTTGTATGTGATAGCAGAGAGAGTTATAATGGTATAACTGCAGCAGCTGATAGCATGTGAAGGTAATAAGGAGGTGATTGGCTCTGGTTCCAAACAGCTGGAAGAGCATGCTATATAGTAAGAAGGAACCAGGGTGGGTAGAGCCGAGTAAAATTAAAAGGCCTTGTAGCTGGGATGAATGATGATTTGTGGCTAAGGAAGAGAGAGAAAAAACATTTACTTAAAAGGTATTTACAGCTGAGAGTAGCAAGGGGGGGTCGTGGGGGTGGAGATTCTGCAGATTCTACAAATCTAGAGAGGATCCAACACCTCCAGTACTGTTTGATTTTCATTTAAAATAATTACATCAACTTGTTCAATAATGCTTAATAAACTGAAGTTTGGAGATCACTTTATATTAAAGGAATACTATAGTGTTTGGAGTACAAACATTTATTGCCTGTAGTTACCTGTTCAATGTTTTAGGTACCCAGCCCCCCTCCAAGCTTTACCCACCTTTTTTCCCACACCGTGGTGGTCAGTCTTGCTGATCTCAGCCAATCGAGTGCTTTCCCATAAGAAAACACCATGCTGCACCAATCAGCATCTCCTCATAGATATACATTCAATCAATGCATCTCTATGAGGAACATTCAGCGCCTCCACGCAGAGGAAGACACAGAACATGGGTGCTGCACATTGTGCAGTACTGAGATAGGAAGCACTTCTAGTGGCCGTCTGACTGACTGTCACTCAAGGTGTTACTGGGCAGCAATGGAAAAACGCTGCATTTTCTCTGAATACATTATTTATATAAATTCTACACCACAACAATTACATTAAGCAGCCGTGGTTCTGTTGATTGTAGTTTCACTTTAAATATCAATATGACTTATCGAGGCATTATCTATACTTTGATACTTGAGAAAATTACATAAAATAGATGTAAGTAAATGAAAACAAACTAAGCGAAAGAAGGAGTAGTGAAGGTGAACAAACCCCCCACTATTCCCTCAGAGGAGAAGGTGACAGGAGGTAACAGGGGCTTAACCCCAATTAAACTAAGAAAAAAGACAAAAACGAATAGAGAGGGAGGTCTGATCCCCTAAAGAGGGGGAGAGGACTACCCTGACCATTCAAAGAATACCTCCTAATGTAAAAAAGTCACGTTACGGGGTGAACACGTTAGCACAATGCTCATCTACCCTGATTGGCTTAAGGCCATACATGTCATCATGACGCTACATTTCCTCCTTTTGAAATTATGGCGACCACGTGAGCTTTACGCCCACCTTTCCTGACTGGTCTCTTCTGAGAGTTGACGATCGGATGAACCCCGCCTCTTGAGGAATCCGATTGGAGGACGTCACCTTTGGGGAAGTGGTTACTACCCTTTATAAAGCAAAATCCAACCACTTAACAAGTTGCTCTTGATAAAGGCGTGCTTGAAAACGCCGAAACGCGCGTCGAGTTTAGATAGTTTTAGTGGACACCTATCACTTTATTTAAGATTTTAGTTGTAGCTGATGCTATCTATGAGCTCTTAGACAGTCTTAGCCGACGCTTATCTCCTGAATTGAGTTTAGATAGCTTTTAGCCGACGCTAAGCACTTATACTTGAGATTTTGGTTGTAGCTGAAGCTATCCATCAGTTTTCTAGACAGTTTGTAGCCGACGCTACTTTACTGATTTTGAGTCTTCAGCTCTAGTAGACTTTAGCTTTATGTAATTTATTTTTCTAGCTTGGAGATGTCCCTGAGTGCAATATGCTGGCTCTTTTTAGCTAATAAGGGGGGATAGATATGCGGCCTTGAAGCAGCTTTTAGATGTATGGTAAAGGTTTAGTTGGAGCAGCATTGTGAAGGGGTGTTTTAGGCGATCTATACGTATATCTAGAATTATATTTCTAGTTTATTCTCTTTCTCTAGGTCTTTGCCTCTCTGCACCCTTTATCCATTCATGCTGCCATTTTTCTATCTATCTTTATATATATACTTTTCCTATATTGTGCTCCCTCTATAACCACATAGGGACATTCAGTCCATTTCCTTCTCTTTTCTACTGCCATTTAATCATTTGGCATTATTTATATTGACTTCTAGTTTTTATACGTATTTCAATAAAGGTTATATACCCTGTAGCGGAACGCCAATATAAAATCCACGAATTCCGCTGGTCCAGAAACGAATCCACAGTCAAGCGCTGAAAACACCAAGGCAATATCCCCAACCTCCCAATAACCGGACGAGACACAGTTTTGGGAGTCAACTGAAATCCTTTAATCGGCACGACAATTTATACAAGTCCCCATGCAAGGGGTTTCCTGAGTTCCTCCCCAGGGGCACTCCCAGAGGGGACTACATGGGGGACTTACAGTACAACATATTTCTCCCATCAGGCACTGCTGCACGAGAGGGATCATCCTCCCAGAATGCACCGTTAAGGGGATTATCCCCTCGTGCAGCAGAACCGGCAATTCACACAAAAATCTACAACTGTTACAATACACGGTGGATTTACACGAATGGACGTTCGGTAGATAGCTGGGGTCTGGGCGCATCATTCGTGAGATTGTCGTTTAGATCCCAGCTAAAATAACCGAACGCCGCACAGAAAACACATTTCTTTCAAAACACACGAAAAGAACCGATTACTTTTAGTGAACCTGGTCCTGAAACTCCCGAACGTCCTGGAGGCTCAGCGGTGTTCGTGCCGTCGAATAACTATTGGTAATGCTATGCGTTCGACGACACGGACCCGCTGAAGAACAAGGGATCCAAGATGGCCGACCGCCGCATGGTCGGTAGTCGAACGACGGCCACCCAGGAGAGCCTCTAATAACCGATTGCAACAATGTTGCAATCGGTTAACTAGCGCCACACGCCTCTAAGTGTGTGGGCTATTAGGGGGTATCGCGTTCGGTTCACGAACGGCTTTCTAAAGTGCCGTTCGTGAAACGAAAGAAAATCCCCATACAAAACCGCCATTTGCATTCGGCGGAAACAGCAGTACAGGCAATACAGAAAATACATTAACATCTACATAAGTGTAAAGCGCATATCTCGCCCGACCTATTGGCAACCCTTAAAGGCACAGTCTCTAGTTATTGTCCAAGTGGCTAGGTTTGCCACATACCCTAATTTATGTGACTTTTTTTACATTAGGAGGTATTCTTTGAATGGTCAGGGTAGTCCTCTCCCCCTCTTTAGGGGATCAGACCTCCCTCTCTATTCGTTTTTGTCTTTTTTCGTAAAATGAAAACAACTAAAATTAAAAACAAACAAAACATATTAGCAAACCTAGTCCGCCATCTGTATACATTGCAATAGGTGGAAAGCTTGGTATGGTTTTAGTAGCTGCATGATGGAATGAGGAGATTTAGCTCCAGTCTGTTTTAATCCATCTGTACCTCACTCTACACCTGACCCTCCATGTCCTGTCTTTTCAGTCCGTATTCCAGTTTTATGACCCAGAACATAAAGGCTACGTGTCCACTGAAGACTTTGATAAGATCGTAGTCAGTCTACCGTTCTCCTGCCACATTCTGGAAAAGGAAAGGTATGTTTTCAGGTGGAAAGAAGCCCGATGATGATGGTAAAAGTGAGACAATTATGACATTGGATTGTCTTATTCACAGTGATGGGCCAATCAGTCGCCAAGAGATGACATCTTACTTCATGAAAGCCAGTCATGTCTGCTCCAAGTTGGGTGTCCGTTTCCTGCAGAGTGTGGTGGAGGCGCGTCTGAAGAAATCTCCGCTGTGTGCCAATTGTGTAAGTACCAGCATCTACTTCTGTTATAACAGTGTGCAATACAGGGCTCTTTAGTAAATGTGGAGAGGGACAGACAACACTTGGTGGCAGAGGTCCACGAGCCAGAAATCTCCACATTTGGTCGATGTTATCCAAAATGATTTCTTCATCAAATTCCAGGTTGAGAGGGGTTACTTCATATAATTCTCATCACCAACTCCATAAGGGGAAATCTCCCTTGGAGGCAACTAGGGTCAGCCCATATGATAAGAGACAAGCATGTCCACGCTTTCTATACGTTACTATAACCCCTGACGTTCTGCCATGTACAAGGCTGACTTTGCCCTTAGAGCAAATACATCACAGTCACTCATTGGCTGCAGGTCATGAGAAAGTATGACCCGATAAGAGTTATAGGCAATTTCCATTGTACAGAGAGCTAACACCTTTCATCAAAACCATATGATAAAATCCCCTTAATATTTGGTCAAATGTATGAGGACAACCCAAGTACTTATTGAGTTCAGATGTTTCAGCCTCCCTCATTGCTAACAAGTGCATACATTCCTGTAGAGAGTCATGAAATCTCCATAATACAGTGGGTCCCACTAAAGAGCTCAGTGACTTTAAACGTGGCACTGTCACACGATCCAACATTTGTCAGGTCAATAAATTAAAATTCTTTTGGCTTAAGGATACACATAACAAAGACATTTGCTTCCAACTAAAGCCTTGATTTAATGTATTTGGATAAGCTTTTTCAATGATATTTTTAACATGTAAAAAAATATATCATAAATAAAAATAAATCAATCTACTACAAAATGAAACTATTTTTCATAATATTAAATCGTTTTAAAGGTTTATTAAAAAGATTAAATCAAGGACTTCATGGTAACAGTTTGGGAAAAGGTCCTTTCCTGTTCCATCATGACTGTGTCCATGTACCCAAAGCAAGGACCATAAAGACATTGTTTGGTGGGTTTAGAGTGGAGGGACTCGAGTGGCCGGCACAGAGTCGGGACCCCTTTTGTCTACATTTTTCCATTCGGATTTAAGTTTGGTGTTTAGTGAAGAACACTGTCTGTGAACCTTTGGGACATATGTATAA